CAAGCCTCCAACGAGGGAGCATGCGGGAGCTGCACCCACCAGCAGGTGCGATACCTGCTACAGCAGGTGGGCGATACCGGCCAGGGGTCAGCCGGTAGCATCAGGACCGAGCTTCTTCGATGGGCCAGTCACTGTGCCTCCCCTCCGGTCCCCTCCCCCTATGAACATCAGCAGTCTCTGCTCAATGCCACTCGGGGGGACCAACGGCATATCTCTAGGTGGCGGGCGCCAAGCTTGCCCAGGAAGGTACATGAATAAAAAGTAGTTTCGAATTTCGAAAAAAGCACTATTGAGAAAGAATTAATTAATTTGAATGAAAAGAAATTTAAAGAATTAAATTGATTTCTAAAATATTTTTGAATTACAAAACTTCCGAAAAACAAAGAAGAAATACGTAACTTCAAAATTTTCAAAAAAGAATTAATTAGAAATGTTTTTTGAAAAAGAAATGTCGAAAAAAAGTTTTAATTAATTCTAAAATATTTTCGAGTTACAAAAAAATTGAAAAAGAACTAGGCTACCAGAGTGGCCCGGGTCCGGGGAGGGGGGGCAGGAAGAAGGTGGGGGAATAGAAAATGATGACGGCTATGGTGAAGGACAAGAGTGCAATCGGACTCGTCTCATTCACACTTTTCATGCATGTAAGCCGCATCGCAGCAAACTGGCGACACGCGCCCACACAGAACTTAGAGATATGGTATCCAGATAAGAGTTCACTTCCACTGGCTATGGCGACTCTGCGCCCAACAACTCACTGTTCGCACACACCCGATCACCCTGGATATCCCACATGCAGCACTCTGAACACTCACACCACACACACACACTGGCTACAGCTATGGCAGCTATGGCTGCCTCTACGCTATCGCTACGCTAAGCTCTCCTGGCCCACTTCGACTTCGGGCACACTGCAGACCTCCTCGCACAAACCGCTGAGACAGCGCTTCCGCATGGCTTCCACAGGAATGAATGAATGGCTGTGCGCGGCCTCTTGATTTATACTTCTGTGGCTCGTCGGCCTGCCCTGTTTCCCTGGCCCACGGTGCACACAGTCCCAGGCGGTACTTGCTTGACTGGACCGGACTGACTGGACTGGGACTGCTGACTCTGCGCGGTGGACGTCCACCACTTGCCCACTTGCCTTGACCTACAGTGGGCTGACTCCGAAAGGCCACTTCTAGAAGCATCTACTTGGCCTTTCGGTCCTGTAGCAGCTACGACTTTGGCCCTTTCAGGTAAGTAGCAGCTGCGACTTAAGACCTCTGGACTCTCTAGACTCCTATCCGACAGGTCTACAGTTCGAATCCCCTATGCCCTGTAACCTACGATGACCTACCTACCACTGGCAGTCCTACAGGTCGCAGGTTCAACTCYACGGGTTGACACAGGTACTGCACACAGGTAAGGTGGGGACTAGGGATCGAGCCCTGGGATCTGCATCAGCTACTGCGAACTGGTGAATACCGTTTCACTCCCGCCGGCCTAAATTCGAGGTCCTCCGAGAATATTTCAGTCCAAGGCAGGACCTTTACCCTTTCTGTCTTTTTCGTAGGCCCTGACTATGTCGGGAGCTGTCTCTAGAAGTTCAGTTCTGGTGAACCACCGGTCGTCTTCTGGTTCCTGATATGCAAATCTGACCTTATACTGTTTTTGAGGACGACCTCGACCTCCTGTTCTAAACACGTCTTCACCTACAATGCCGTCAATGTCGTACCTCCCATCCATGTCTGGAGGGATCATGGAGCGTCGAGATGGAAACTGGTCACTTACTGTGCATGGCAACAACTTTGACGCATGGAAAACTGGGTAGGTGTGGAGGTGTAGTGGAATCTCTATCGAATAGGACGGACCGTCTTCTCCGGCCTTGACTTCTAGAACTGGCCACGGTCCTCTATACACGGGCAGTAGCTTTTGCGAGATGTTCTCCTCAGGAGCAAACTCTTTAGCTTTGACCCAGACTAAGTCGCCTACTTGGAACTGTGATGGGCGACGATGTTTGTGGGCTTGCTCTATCATCCTATGCTGGGCCTTCTTGAGGTTCTCTACAACAGTAGCTAGTTCTTTCTCGAGCTGTATAGCAAACTCCCTCGTACCGGGCGGTAGCCTATGAATCTGATCCCGGTTAAGTCCTTCAAACGGTCTGCGCGACCTAAAGGACTTGTGCAGTTCATTGGGAGTGCGGCATGTAGACAAATGCACACTATTGTTATAGGCACTGGCTACCTTGGGGAGCATCTCGTCCCAGTCAACTTGATCTGGTCTAATGTACATTCTCAGAACTTGCTGCAGGATCTTATTCATATGTTCAGTCTGACCGTTGGTCTCGGGATGACGGCCAGACGACATTAATAACTTAGAGCCATAGACTCTCATCAACTCCTGCCAGTTTTGACTCGTGAACCGGGTGTCTCTATCACTAACTATGGACAATGGGACCCCGTGCTCACTGACCCAATGATCAAAGAACTTACGGATTACTAACTCGGTCCGTGCCCCTGAAGGCAAAGGTATAAAAACAGCATACTTGCTAAATCTATCGACTATCACCATGACTTGGCTCTTGCCGTGCCTACTCTTGACGCCTGCGTCCATGAAGTCGATGGACACTGAATCCCCGGGCTGATCACGAATAGGCAAGGGTCTGAGAAGACCTAGCGGAGCACGCGTAGTAGTCTTATTCTGCTGACAAACTTTACAACTGCGGACATACCCTATACAGTCATTCTTCATTCCTGGCCAGGTGTACGCGTGCATTAGATTGGCTAGAGTCTTTTGCCAACCAAAATGACCCTCTGTGTCGTGACATTCTCCTAAGATCAGACTACGGATCTCCTCGCTATTGGGGATGCACAGACGGTCAACTACGTTAGTCTTCTCAAATAACAGTCCGTTAGTAGTGCGGTAATCTGGCTCGGTCTCTGGAGCCTCCTTTACCCTCTTGAGGAGGTCACTATAAATAGGGTCTTGCGCATATGCTTCTTTAACTCTTTCCTGCAGGTCTCTCGCTATGTCCAGATAGTGAACTATCGCTCCAAAGTAGTCAGCTCTCCTACTCAGAGCGTCTGCAACTACATTATATTTACCCTTGACTGGCTTGAGCTCAAAATCGTACTGGTCTATTTCTGCGGCCCACCTAGTAAGCTTAGGTGTCATCTTGGCCTGCGTCTTTAACCATCGCAACGTTTCGTGGTCAGAATAGACTTTGAAATGCCTCCCAAGCAAGTAGTGCTTCCAGTGTTCTAGCGCTTGCCTGAGAGCGTAGAGTTCCCTCTCATAGGTAGATGTCGCAACCTTCTCTGAAGGCATCCTAGCAGACATGAACTCTACGGGTCTATAACCATTGCCATCTTCTTGCTGCAAAACAGCACCTATGCCGTACTGACTAGCGTCCGTAGTGACGACAAAGGGTAAGGACGGATCGGCCACCTTAAGGACTGGATACTCTATCAGTGCCTGCTTCAACTTCTTCATAGCAGATGTACAGTCCTTGTCCCACTTCCAGATGGTCTCTTTCCTTAGCAATCTGCGAAGGGGCGCAGCGATAGTGTAGAAGTTCCTTACGAACTTCCTATAATAATTTGCTAGGCCTAAGAACAACCGTAACTCTGTAAATGTACGCGGTGTAGGCCAATCCCTGATCGCTGCAATCTTACTATCCTCTGGCTTGATGTCGTCTCCGTCTAAGACGTGGCCCAAATACAACACTTGGGTCTTCGCCCATTCGCACTTCTTTCCGTTGATCTTGAAGTTAGCTTCTCTCAGCTTCTCCAAGACCTGCCTGAGATGACCCTGATGCTCTTGAAGGGTCTTACTAAACACTAGGATATCATCCAAATAAACTACAACAAACCTATCTAACCAAGGCCTAAACAGGTCATTCATGCACCGCTGAAAAGTCGTTGGCGCGTTGGTTAGTCCAAAGGGCATCACAACGAACTCGTAGTGCCCGTACCTACTCCGGAAGGCTGTCTTGTACTGATCATCAGGATGAACCTCAATCTGATGATATCCGAACTTCAAATCTATCTTTGAAAAGTATCTGCACCCCTGCACCAGATCTAAAAGGTCGTCTATCCTGGGCAGTGGCTCAACATTCTTAACTGTGACAGCGTTCAGACCCCTATAGTCTATACACAATCTAAGCTCTCCCTCCTCTTTGGGGACAAACAGAACAGGTGCTCCAAATGGAGACGAACTGGGCCTAATCCAACCCTTCTCTAGGAGCTCGTCTAGCTGCTTGCGCAGCTCCTCCAACTCCCGCGGGGACATCCTATACACTGCTCCCTTGGGGGTGCTACTGCCAGACTCAATCTCTATACGATGCTGGATCGGCCGCGGTACCACTCCTACCGGCGGCTTCGCTAAGTCGGTGAACTCTTCCAGCAGCTTGGCAATAGCAGGGTCTATAGGCTTCTCTTCCTTAGGCTCAGTAACTGGCCTAACATAGGCTACAAAAACCTGTTCCTCTAGCTGCTCCTTCTTCACTAACCTTGCGAACGCAGGAGCGCTAAGGCAGCAATGCGCCAGGGAGTTGTCTACTCCTGACACATGAAACAGGCGGGCAGTCTTGACACCGCCTGTTGGACTAGGGAGCCTACACTCGTGCTCTCTCAAGTGGAGTGTGGCCCCTGCTGCCTCTCCCCAGTCCATACGTAGGACTATGTCAAACGGGAGGCTATCCTCTACGAGGAGAGTCAGGGAATGGAGAACTTTATCCACCTTCCCATCCTTTTCTAGGCGGAAATACGCCTGGATTCCCTCTACGTACTCCTCTACTCTCATGGTGCGATTGTCCGCGAGGATACTTACTATGGGGTCTGCTAGTCGTTGGACTTTCAACTGCAACTTCAGCTTCTGCAGTGCTTTCCTACTAATATAACTGCGAGTGGCTCCACTATCCACCAAGGCGCCAACTCGTCCCCTAAAAATCTTGGTATCTACTAGTATAAGTTGCCCCCTATTTTCTTTCCTCATCTTGGCCCAGGCGAGCATTCTCTCCTTCAATTCCTCTGCCACGCCTATGAGGGAAGTGCCTAGAGAGACTCTAACACACGCAGTCTTTGGGCAGCTATCTAGGCAACGGCCTGCAACTTCTGCCATGGGCTCATGTGGTTTGGGAGATTCGTGCCGGCTTGCTAACTCATCTCCACATGGCCCTATGGTAGAGGTAGTTGCTACCCCTACCGGCGGCTGCCTTTCGCTTCCTGTGCAGCCCAACGAGCCTCCCTATACTTCGGACAGTATTTGATGATGTGGCCAGGGTCACCGCAATAAATGCACTGCCCCTGGTTCACACGTTGTTGCCATAAGCGCTGGTCCAGGCCCAGATCTTCCCAAGGCCTGCCTTGTGGCAGCCCTGCGTGCCATCCACTCCTCCTATAAGGGGACCTGTTCCCAAACCGGTTTTGTGGGGGACCTTGACCCCTTCCTCCCGCTTGGCGGTTTCCTCCTCTGCCGCCAACCCCCTGATCGCCCTAAGAACGGTTCCCTGAGGCCCGGCCCCCTTGGCCCTGGCCTCTTCCTCCGCCTTGCGGCCTCCCTCCAGCCGCGGCAGCAGCGTAGGTCCTCCCCTGACTACTGCTACTGTCATTTTCTTCGAGCCCCCACTCTATCTGATCGTAGGGGATCTCATCGACACTACCCTCGTCTAAGGTAAGGATCAGGCTATCCTTTGTCTTCACCTGTTCTGAGATAGTGCGACCCTTCCACTTTTTTCCCTTATCCAAGTCCTTGTGCCAGAAAGTGGAAACTGACGCAGACTTCGCTTCAAATGTCACCACTTCCCTGCTCAAGGCGTCATAGGTCATGGTGGGTTGCAGACCCTTCTCAAAGAAGAGCCCACGCAACGATTCGGGCATAGCCCGGTAGAAGAGGTTGACCAGTTGGGTCTCTGTGACCCCATGGTCAGGAGTAGCCACTAACTCGTCCATTACTCCCTTGAGTGCCTTGGCACTCCACTGGCGAGAGTGGATAGTCTGCAATCGGTCAGAGGCTCTGACACTGCGCGAGACATCTGCAAATCGTTCGCGCAGCAACTTAAGAAAGTCCGCGAGGGGGGTGAAAGCAGAGTAGGCAACCACATCATCGTTGCAGTTAGCAGCACGGACTAAGGAGCGTGCAAAATTGGCGGCTTCTTCCTTCAATGCATGGATGGCTATCAGGACCTGCTCATCGGGGGACACTTTCTGCAGGTGCACGTACGTTCTAACGTTGGCTTCCCAGTTGTCAAAGTTCTCTTCCTTTTTCCCGTTGTAGGAATCAGGGAATTTGACTTTGATTGGCTCCCTGCGAGGACGTGCTTCCTCTTCCTTGGGAGCCGCCAGTTTAACACCTTCAATGGCGCCGACACAGAAGCGTTTTGTTTTCTCAAGGCGATGTTTCACCTCAGCTCCTACGGTGCCTACCAGTTCGCGAGCAAAATCACGAAATCCCATCCGCATCGAGCGCACGGCCGTATCCTGACTCCTGCTAAACGCATATTGTTCCTCCTGAACTCGCACCAAGCGCTCGACGTTTTGGGCGATGATCTCCACTTTTCGTTGGAGATCCACCTGGGCGGTCAATTGTTCTTTCAAGTTCTTTACCGCTTCTAATTCTTTGGCCGCCTCACTCGCCGCATCCACTCTCCTCTTCTTTTCCCTCATCATTCTAAGCTTTCACTCCATCCTCGTCTCATCTTTCATCGCTTGCCGCTTCAGAGGGTCTTCTTCTGCATCCCATGCCTTAACGCCGGCTTCTTGCTCATCCTTGGGGATATACATTGCAACCTCCTCCTCTTCTCCCAAAGACAAGTTGGCAACCCATTCCGAGATCCTCTTTTCCATTTCATCCTCTCTAACTTCACTGGTCTGCCCTCGTTGCCATATCCTCCTCTCCAGTGGCTGATCATCTTCCTCCTCCTCTTCTACCTCTTTCAGTTTCGCCTCCTCCTCCTTTTCAATCTTTCCTTTTCTCTGGCCATCTCCTCCTCTATCTTCTTCAGTTTTGCCGCTTGTTCCTCCAACAAGGCCTTCTTCTTGGCCTCCTTCTTCTCTCTCCTCTCCTTTAGGATCGCGGCGGCCTTGGCCTCTTCTTCAGGTGTGTAGGGGTGGGTGGTCGTACCACCCTTGGTCTCTACCCTGCACGAAAATGTGTTCCAGAATCCCAATGGGAAAATGAAACGCCAAAGGGTTCCCCAAAGGGAGAACCCCACTAGAAGCCCGTACATCGGGTAATCATCCATGGTGATAGGTGCACGACAGGACAGTCCCACTCCTCACCACGTAGACCTACCCGCAGAACTCACTGACAGACTCTCTAAGGACCACAGGGTTCGTATAGAACCCTGTCAGCTATGGTCGCTAGCCTAGACCTACACTATGGTTGTCACTACTGAACCAGTGGCTGACCAGGAGGCATTTAAGGAGATCCCCCGTAACTCCGCAAGAATTCTTTAACGTCGCAGTCAGGACGACGTGATCAGCTTGGTTCTGCCTGTTGCATCAGCCCACAACTCAGCCTTTCGGRCCTACCGTGCCACACCGAGMAGCCCGCCGGTCTGTACCGGTCCTTGGGAGGGTTYGTGTCSCCYGGGACAGTCGAGTCGTCAGACACGGCCTTTAGCCTTACTAGATCCGGTAGGGGTTTGGGTCAACAAGGCCCTCAACACTTAAGACTGCCTGGTGTGTCAGCCCACAACTGTCGTTCAAGCCCACCGTGTCACCCCCAATCCGAGCCCCGCCAGTCAGCACCGGTCCTTGGGAGGGTTAGGCCTCCGGGACAATGAGATTAGACACGGTATTAGCTTTACAAGGTCAGGTAGGGGTTTCGTCATCCAGGCCCTATCCTTCATCCACGGAGTACTATCACTTAGGACAGAAGAGACTCAATGCAGAAAGACGAGACAGACAGACTCAGACTCAGCAAGTACTGCAGGGTGAGTGCACATCCACAGGGTGAGGGGGTAGGCTAGGGCTTGGCGAGATATTACCAACTCCAGCTTCGTCAAGGTCTTGGTCAACGATGCCGGTCAACTCCTCGGTCAACGCGGTAAGACCCCGGTCAACACCCTGGTCAACCTTCTGGTCAACGTCCGGTCAACCCTCCGATCAACTCTCCACCTCGGCTATGGCTACCGGCACCTTCCTCTTCGCCACCCTTGTCTTCTTCTCCCCCTTCCTTCACCTTCTTCTTCCTTTCTTTCTCTCTCTCTTTTTTTTTTTTTTTTTTTTTTTCACCCTCGGCTATGTCTGTCTTCCACCCCGATGTCTCCTTCTTCCTTCTTCTCTACTTCCTCTTTCTCTCTCCTCGGTCCCTCCTTCTCCATCCTCTCTCTCCTTCGTCACTCCGTGATGATACCCCACGGCTATGGCCGCTTTCTTCCTCCTTCGTGGGACTGCGCAAGACGTTTCGCAGGTAAGTGACAACCAAACTTGTATCGCTCATCTCTCTCTCTCTCTCTCTCTCTCTCTCTCTCTCTCTCTCTCTCTCTCGCGAAAGCGCGCGCGCGCGCGCGCGCGCGTGCGCCGTAGCGGTATCTTCAGCGCAGCAGGTAGTAACCCAATCTTGTATC